GTCCCCAGGGCACTGCTGCTTATGACACTTGCTATTTGCAAATCAGCTGCAAAATGCTCCCGCTTTATTCCTCCAGCTATTTTTAGCGCTTCTTTTTAGATTGCAATAAAAAAAAAGAAAGCCATCTCGTGTTGGAGATAACCAGATTGTAGCAGTTTCTCCCCTTAAGGGAGAGGCATGTTTGGGGATGGGAGAGGAAGGGCTTTCCAGGGATGCTCCAGTGCGTGTGGAACCCATCTGCTGGCTGTCACCCAAGGTGGAGCCGCCACCGTCACCTGCGGCGGATCCCTTCGGGAGCACATCTCCCTGCCAGCACACCCAGCGTGCGGTGGTTCAGCTGGAGAGCCGGTTGCTGAATCAAAGGCAGGTGAGAAACGGCTCGGTTTCTGCAGAGGTCAGGCAGAAAAAGTCTGCTGAGCGGGCAGCGTGCGGCAGAGTGGCAGGAGAGGGCTCTTGGGAGCACCAGGGCTGTGTTTAAAGACCTGAAAGAAGTCACGGTGGTCCCTGGAGCTCTTTTCCTCCCTGCTTCAGCTGCAGGAAAAGCCTATGAGTGAATGGGGAAGATCTGTCCCACTGATCTCAGAATCACACCGCGCGTGGCCTCCTCTCCTCGGCATCCCAGCTTGTCTCTGAGTACTTGACAGACAGAGCTCACTGAGCTGTATTTGAGCATCCTAAATTTAACTGATGCAGCTAAATGGTTCCTGCTGGTTTTAATTCACATTCATACTAAATTTCTGCAGTTTTATTTTCCCCTTCCCTCTCCTCTCAAGGGAGAAGCAATGGCTTTCTTGGAGGTAGCTTATGATTTTTCCAGACAAATTGTTTCCATTCCAGGGTTATTGGCAATACCCAGATATATGTCCAGGAATTGGTCAAAGCCAAGGAGCCTGATTTAGAGCTGCTGCTCCTAATGTCTAATAAAGCAGCACTGCAAAAGGTCAGCCTCTGTGCAGCATAGCAGCCAGTCCCACCAGCTAATGGCATAATCTATTAAAGACTTTATTCTCTACACCTTCCCTTCCCGATCAAATATAACAAGAACGGGGAACATTAACTGTCTAACCTAATATTGAGTTTCATATAGTGCTAGTAAACCTATTAACTGAGGCTGTTATCCAAACTGCCAGAGCCTTGACCTTGGTCTGTGTTTTTAAGTGGGCTTTTGCTGTTCCTCTCGAGATCAAGGTCGACACTACAAAGCGGCAGCAGCTTCATTAGAGCAGCATCTCCACTGCTCTCCTTGCGAGGGTCCGTGCTTGTGGCACAGCCCTGGTGTCCCTGCAAGCAACGTTCTGCCCTCTTGCTGTAATTTGCACTGAGGAGCGTTCATCGTTTTGAGGTCCCCCCGAGCCCTCTGACTTCCAAATCTGTGTGGCAATAACAGCAACGTTTGCTTTCCTGTAAACACTTCTAGTTTTCTTTGGTTCACCTTTAGCCCAACAGCTCTTGTTCTTATGCTTTTTAACATGATTCTTCATGCTCTCCCGCAGTTCTGCTCCATATCATTGATGTGGACTGCTCTGTTAGCAGTAGCTTTTATTTTCTCCTGAGCTGCCCCAGCTGCTGGGCAGAGCCTTTGGGAGCAGTGTTGCCCAAAGGAGGGGTGAGCTGGTGTGTGAGAGCATGGGTGGTTTCTCTCCATGCACATATCAAGCGAAGACAAATACTTGGCATCAGCCTTTGACATGATTCTCTCCCCAGCAGGTAAGAGGCAATGGTCTCCTGTGGCAGGTTTTGTGAATTATTTTGAGTATTCAGGGGCCAGAAGGGTGTCTCTTCTTTGCTATATTGCACTGAATGGAGTTTCTGTGGGTGGTGGTCTCCCAGTTTTGTGTCCCCACTGCAGTAACATGGCCGGGGCTTCACCCCAGAGAGGCCTGGTTCTGGGTGTGCTGCGGGCTCTCCCAGTGCTAGGCTTCGCTCAGTCCTGGGTTTCCTCTCCGCTGTTCTGGTCCTTGGCATCTTGTTAATGAACCCAAGCATCTGTTTTGAGCACAGCAGTGAACATTTCCCTGAACGGCTGTGAGTTGTCTTGCCAGCTTGTTATTTACGTGCTTGTTCAGGTCACATACTCCCCAGGGTAGGAGTGAGACCCGAGCTCAACCCATTTATCTTCCATGAGTTGAGAATAAAGAAAACATTTACTATGTCTTTCTGTGTCAGGTCTCCTTTTTCTTGAACTATTTTGGGTTCTCTAAGCACTAGTTTTCATTGGTTTTTTGACTCTCTATGGGCAGCTCAAAACGCCTGAGCCAGCAGGCTCGAGGAGTCTCGCTGGTCCTCGTGTGCACCAGGACTCACTTCTTCCCTCCTTGTATGGAGAAATCATGAGCCTGATAAAGCCCGTCTGGCTCCGGGCTCCCCCTTCCCTTGCTTTCCCCATCACATGTCCCTGTCCCTGCGGATTTAGCAGCCCTGGGCATGTCCCTGTGCACAGCCTGTCCTCGGCAGCCTTGCTGCACATCCAGCATCTCTGCCCTGGTCCTGGGCTCAGGATGCTGCTCCCCGGAGACATCTGCCCCATCGGGGCTGGCAGGTGGAGGTGAGTGGTGGGGTAGGAGTCACGTACCCACAGGGAGCAGAGTGCGGCCCCGCACTGCCTCTGTCCCCGGGGTGCGTGGTGGCACTGGGGATGTGCATGTGAGGAGAAGGAGATGCTGAAAACTGAGAAAAATCTTAAGCCTTCTCCGTAATTAATGCCAATTATAAATCCTGCTGTTTCTGTTGTACCTCAAAATATCACCTGGAGTGTTTGCGCAAACAGTGGATGCAGGGTGAAAAAAAACACGAAACCAGGGAAAATCCACCCCATGCAGAGCCCTTCCCGAGCCTGTCTTCCAGGACGCCAAGGCACCCTCCTCAGTCATCCCTTTTCACAAAGGTGACATTTGTAAAGAGCTCAAGGGCAGGTTTTTCCATGCTGAAAGCTCAGCAGCAGCTCCTTGTGTAGCAGCGATAACCAGGTTTCTCAGAGAGCCGGGTCAGCGCAGAGGGGAGGTGCAGTGCTCCGTGGAAAAGCCTGGCCATTTAATCCTGTGCCCCTGTCACAGTGAGCTGAGCCACCCCATGAACCTGTCATGAGGACATGTGCCGGTGACACGTCCTCTTCAGTCCCATGTGTGGCAAGACGCTGAGGAGTGTGTGCTGGCTTCCTTGTTCCTCCTATGAACAAATAAATAAATATCCCCATGGGGTTGAGACCAGGTCTGCAAATAGCTAGTGAGAACTGAAATCCCAACCTGAAATTACAGAATCACAGAGTCACAGAATGGTCAGGGTTGGAAGGGACCTCTGGAGATCATCTAGTCCAACCCCCCCGCCAGAGCAGGGTCACCTACAGCAGTTGCACAGGACAGCATCCAGGCGGGTTTTGAATGTCTCCAGAGTGGGAGACTCCACCACCTCTCTGGGCAGCCTGTGCCAGTGCTCCACTACCCTCAAAGTAAAGAAGTTCCTTCTCATGTTAAGATGGAACTTCCTATGTTCAAGCTTGTGCCCATTACCCCTCGTCCTATCACTGGGCGCCACTGAAAAAAGACTGCTCCCATCCCCCTGGCATCCTCCCTTTAAGTATTTGTAAGTTTAACACTCTTATGGCTGAATAGGGTTTAAAAAATTTTCTTTTTTAAAATGTCTTTTAAATGTAATTGGCTTGCAGGGGGGAATCAATGAATCGTTGTGGCTGACTCGGGCTGCGTGAGAGCCTGCGGTCCCCAGCCCGCCCCACAGGCAGGGTTCCCTCTCCAGCTTCGCTTCTGCCGAACGTGCAGCCTCCTCACAGCATCCTTTTAAGAAATGGATTTGGGGCAGCGGGGCGCTGTGTCATGGCATGGGTAATTGTCCCCCACCCAAAGACATTTGGCAAAGTGTGGGAGGTTCGTAATTGTGCCTGACTCCGACGTGCAGCAGCTTCCCCAGCGGCAGAGTGCAAAACCCAGTGCGGTAGCCTGGGTACCCTGGCACAAAGCTCCTGACCTGTGTTTGGGCAGCTGTGTTTCGGTTTGGCAGATGCCTGTAGGACAAAAGTCGGTGCCGAATGGTGACCTCAGGCTTCCTCCTTAACCATTTGCAGCAAGTCGGGCAGCAAGGTTTCCCACAACCTGTGATACAGCTGCGTAAATCAGGGTACAACTGGGTAAACCTTGATTTTGTACCAGCATACTGCAGGGTTTGAGCCTTTCGCATTGCTTCACCCATGTCCGGTGCAGTGATCAGCACCTGTAGCTGTGCCATAGACCAGCCTCAGGTGCCTGGTGAATAGATTTGGGGGCTGTGTCCTCCTGTTTTGCTGCAGCGACTGCGGCAGAGGCATTGCTGGTGTTTGAGGGTGTTGTCCCTTTAGCCTTGCACCGGTGTTCAGGTCCTCTTCGTGATCCCTTCAGGACTGGTTGTGAAAGCAGGTATGAAAGCCACACAGTGGACGTGATGGGTGCTTCTGGTGTTAAGTAGTAAGAAATGGGAACTTCTAGTCAAGAAGGGGATGAATCACTCTGTGCAAGGGTAAGAAATAAACAGGGAATTGAGTCCCAAGGGGATTGATGCCAGCACCCCTCGTCTCACTTTTAACTACTGCTCTAGATGCGGTATTTCCTCCCCAAAAATGAAGGTTGGGAAGCAACAGCTATCAAGAGAGATCCTATAAGCTATGCTAGGAAGCTGCTTAGATTATAATGCTACCTGGAAGAGGTGACAGGCTGGATGTGAGTCTGAGATGGCAGAGATTTTCCTTACAGACAATTAGTTATAGCTATGCAAGTATTAACCAACTGGTGACTGCAACCACTACTGTGTTGTTGGTTTTTTTTTTTTTTGTATGAGGAAAGGGATTTTAAAAGGATTCTGTGTAACTAAGCTGCCTGGAAATCAGGGGGTTTTGCAAGGGAAAAAGGCTTCGGTAGATGTCATTCATTTCAAAGATATATTAAGTCTGGTTCTTTAGTTACTGGATTGCTTTAAAATGAAAATTAACCACTTGCCAAAATCAATTTCTTTTGCAGCTTGAATTTCAGTGGAGTCCATCTGGCATCTGCTGGGCAGTTTAGTGACTTCCTGGGGAGCATGGGCCCTGCACAATTTGTTGGGCGTCAGACCTTGGCCACCACCTCCATGGGTAAGGAACACAAAGATGTTAGGTAGCTTTAATTTATTCTCGAACAGGCTGCTCTTACAAGCCACCTAATAACATGTCCAGCATCTGCTGCTCTACCACTCCCCCGCTCTGTTTCTCTGTTAAGTCAAGGAAGCTTGGCTGAAAGGTTTTGCTGGTTGCTGTGAACATGGTGTTAGTAGGAGAGCACCAGCTTTATGCTTTCCTCCGTCAGATCTGAAAGGCACAGATTAAGTAAAACACAGCTAAAATCCTGAAAATGCATCCTGTGCATCTTTGTGTTTTTCTTGCTTTCTAAGGCCCACCGGGCTCTGTAAAGGTTTTCTTATGGTCCACCGTAATTACATTTTCCAAAGCAGCCTGCAGCTCTAGGTACTGCAGTTTGGGAGAGATGAGAGGTTAGCTGCCAGTGAAGAGTAGGAGACTGAGTCACCAAAGCCATGTTAGAGGGCTGACATTAGAGATTGCTTTGGAAAATGTGGGCTTGAATCACTGCAGAGCTGCTCCAGAGTAAGGCAGGAGGAGATCAGGCACTCAGGGCCTGCAGTTTGTTACAGCTCATAGCAGGCATGACATGAGGACTGGTTTTTTTAACATTTTAGTAGCCCACAGATACATCATTTTGAAAGTCTTCTGTCTATTTTGACGTTTTGGTTTAGGGGATGTGGAAATTGGCTTGCAAGAGCGAAATGGGCAGCTAGAAGTGGATATCATTCAGGCGCGAGGACTGACACCAAAACCCGGCTCCAAAACACTGCCAGGTAGTATGCTTTGACCTCCTAAAATAATTCACTGACCCCCAGCCTCCTGCGATGCTTGTGAATAGGAAAAAATTTAATTCCGCTTGGCTTCTGCAGAAATAAGCAGTCTGTATGCGGTATTGAAAATAAGGCTGGTTGAGCAAATCTTTTCACTGCTGTAAATGCCTTCTTTAGAAATACCTGAGACATGGCACTCTGTCTTTTCTAAAGTGAGCATCAAGATTTTTTTCATATTTGACCATATTTATTTTTTCCAGCTGCTTACATCAAAGCTTACCTGCTAGAGAATGGCGTGTGCATTGCGAAAAAGAAGACAAAAGTGGCTCGCAAATCATTAGATCCTTTGTACAATCAGGTGTTACTGTTTGCTGAGAGCCCACAGGGCAAAGTATTACAGGTAAGATGAGCAAGTCTCAGGTCTGCCCATCTCTCTCTTCCACCTCTGCTGGAAGATATTAAGTTTGGCAAGGGATCTGGCTAGTTGGCATAGATGAGAAAAAGCCAATGTTTTCACATTGAACCAAACGCACTCGATCTGAACGTAACAAATGGAAAGGAAAACCTTTTTTTCATACTCAAACTGATTATTATTTGGCACCCTGCCAGGTAACGTGAGTGCCTACCAGGAAAAGGTTTGATATTTATGTTTTTAATTCTTTTTTCCCCGACCAGTTAGAAGATAGGTAGTACCTATAGATGCTAAACAATCTTGCAGCATAGGTTGTCTTCTGTGTTTACATGCATTCAGAGCACTCTGCTTTGGCCATTGCCCAGTCACACATCCTACCTGTTTCTACCTCTTTTCTTTTACTGCCATACGTTTTCTGTCATACTCATGTTTTCAATTCTGCACCTATGTTTCCAGAGCAAAAAGTGATTTGCATTGTTAATTCATACCTAAATCATTTCCATCCAATAAAGCCTGGCTAAAATCGACTGGTAATACTGCTGTAATTAATCTGCGAGTTTCTATTGCTTACCTCCACTGGCATATGAATTGCCAGCTGAGCTGCTGGATCCTTCTCATTACTGAACTCTTCCTCATTTACCGTGATTAGAAGCATTTTTCCCTGTTGCAATGAGACTGCACATTTTTGACAGAAATGGGGTGGAGCTGGCTTGGTCTGCCCTTGCCTTGCATGAGTTTCCTTACCTGCTGCCGTGCTGCCAGGAAGGGCACTTACTCCAAGAGAATAAAACAAGGAGCTTGGCTCTCTGCCAGCGGCCATGCCACCAAACCGACCTTCCGCAGTGGCTTGCTCCACCATCTCATGCTGACCTAGAGTGGTATTTTTGTCCTTTAATTGGCATTCATTGTCTCTCCTACCTCATTTTACAGAAGATTGTAAGGTCCTGGTTGTTTGAAGCCTAGGGAAAGAAGCTGTCAGGATTAGCCAGAGATCACTAGTCACCACCATAACCCATCGTACTCATCCTCTCCTCTTCAGAACACGGACTCGCTCTGGAGTCAGTCGTCACCTTTGTCTTGAGCCACATAGGGCCACTTGGTCACGTGCAGACCTCCAGCATGCCTAAGCCCGTGACCCTCACTACATCCGTTGTTCCACCCACTGGTCTCCATCATGTCGTAAGTGTGATTCAGCTTTCCCTGCTCGTCTGCCAGCTCTCTTTCATTAGACCTTCCTCTGCATCTGCCAGCCGTTCTCGGCAGTCTGTTCTGCTTCCCCTGCATGCCACTCCATGTGTGCCCCTTGCATCACCAGTCCCGCTTGCCAGCGCTCGGCTGCTGCCCTTTCTCCAGGTGAGTAGCCGTGCCTCGTCTCCATCTGCCCTGTGTCACGAGCTCCAAGTGCAGAAGTTAAGACATGCTCTTTTCCTCATACTGTTGGCCCTCGACCCGACTATTGTCCACCTTTTTTTATCAGTGTGTTTTTCCGGACCAGGAGCCCTTCCTGCTCCTGTCTCACAGGCCATCTTTTGTTGTGTCCAAGGCCCGTCACTGCGCCAGGACCAGGTTTTACCTGCAGGTGGTGGAGCTGCAGCTCCAGGGATACTTCCTGCATGCGTTGTCCCTGCCCAGCAGGTAGAACACAGAATGGTGTCTCATCCACATGGGCGTTCACCTCTTTTCCGGGGTGGGGGGGGAAGTTTGATAACATTAGGATTTGTAAAACTTTGCTTAAAAAAAAATAAATAATAAAATGATGAGCCAGAGCTTCACGTCACCTGTTGGTAGTGTAAACCTCTTCTCGGACTGTAGTAAAGCGCCGGGAAGTTGGATGAGTAGAAAGAAGGATTGCTCAGACTTGTGCTTCCCAAGGAAGTGTGCAAGTTGGAGGATTAACTGTGCTCCCCCCTCTTGTTCCTAAGGTTATAGTCTGGGGAAACTATGGACGCATGGAACGCAAGCACTTCATGGGAGTCGCCAGGGTCCTCCTGGAAGAACTGGATTTGTCAACTTTAGCAATCGGCTGGTACAAGCTCTTCCCGACCTCCTCGATGGTAGATCCCACTACAGGCCCACTCCTGCGTCAGTCCTCACAGCTTTCCCTGGAGAGCACAGTGGGACCCTGCTGTGACAGGTCTTAGTGAGTAAGGAAGGGGGAACTGCTTTTGTTTTTTAAACATGCTGTCAAGGTTTTGTTTGCTGGAACTCTGACCTCAAGCGCAATGCATGTTCAATCAGTTCTTGTGGAGCTGGAAGAGGAGGATAAACCAGTGACCTTAGACAGAAGACGAGGGGGAGGGCGCCGTGCCCTCTCCGTCCGAGGAGGAGGTGCCGTGGGGCATGAGTCCTAGTTGTCAAATTAGACATACACCTCTTGTTTCACTTCTCTCGCTGTCATTCTTGGACCCTTGTTTCCGATCAGTATTAACCCTGGAAAGTTGCAGCATTTGAAAGAATTTGGGGGGAGTAAGGAAGGAATTTTTCTTGACTGTGCCTCTTAGAAATTTCTTACATGGATTCTTTCACGAGAAAGTACCTGAAAAATTCAGAGGCCATTGTCTGACCCAAGAAGGGCAGGAGCAGAAAGTTTAAGAGGAAGAATTAGGTATTTTGATAAGGTCTTCCTTCTTGAAAGGAAGCAAATGAAAGAAAACTGCAACTCTTTCTTTAGAATCAGTTCCCTATCACTGAGTCATGTTAACTGTAACAGTATCGTTGCTGTGTTTTCAAACTGTGCCAAATTACCAGCAAGTGTCTTTACTGCATTCCTTGTCTAACACTGCTGATGAAACATACTTGGTGGGAGAATAAGTAGCGCCTACTTAGACCAGACAGTTTGAACAGAGTTTGAGTTTAGCGGGCTAATTAACTGCAATTTTGCTCAGAAAAAAACCAAACCACTAGAAGTGGGAGCTGAACATCAGACTTGCAGCTTGAGTTATGTTTTGTATTGTCAGATACAACGTTCTGCCGTTTACTGACTCCCTTACTTGTTGCTGTGCATCCTTCAGTCACAATGTCTTCTATCTCCTGCTTTTCTTCCATCTCCTTTGTACTGGTGCATATCTGCTGGAGATGCTGCCCTTCCTGTTGTGCTATGGACTGACCTGAAACAGGACTGTTTTATTCTGCCACGGGAGAGGAGATTGAGGTTTCTGGGGGTGCAGAAGAAAGAAGCCTCAGTTTGTCATCTGACGAGAGCGTGTATGTAACCTTCCTTGTGGAGAGAAAGGTGCTTTAGGCAGTCTCGGTAGTACACATAGTCAAGTGTCCTGCAAGAGGAGATGCAATCCCCAAAATATGGAGAGGTAGTGGGTGAGGAGTCTGAAGACGTAGTGGTCGCAGCATGTATATTGTGTTAATTAAAGCGCAACACTAACTGTAACCGAGTCGGGTAGGTTAAGCCGGTAAAGCGCGTTCTCTGAGCTGCTGAGCTACAGCGGCTGTTGTCAGCAGAGTCACGCGCTGGAGTAAGTGCGCTGAATCCTTCAGACAATTTAAAAACTTATTATCCAAAATAACAGAGAATCTCCAAAGATTTGCTGTTGATAGACCTCTTTTGGCTAAGTTTTGTCTTAGTTCCTAATGAGGATTTGATGACTGCTGTCTCAGAATGAACTTTTGGAGATGTTTTACAATGTGATTTAAAAGTGAAGGTCCCATGTCGTGTTTAGGAATGAGCAGATTTTTGAGCTGTCGTAGACATACCGAACATTTATTTCTGCATGTGGACCTCAGCTTTATTATAATTAAAGCATGAGTGTTGAGTGGATGGTGAAAGCAGTTGCTTTTGGTCCTAGCTTGTCTATGGCATTTTAAATTATTTTGAGGTAAATTACAGGATAGATGCAAAAATAATAGGCCTTACAATAATCTCTGTAAAAAATTATATAATATAAAGGAGAGGGAAGGAGGATAAGGGACATAGAACAAATAGTTTTTTGAGTCTTCAGTGGCAAAAGCCTCAACATTTCAGATAAATCTCTTAATTTCCTTGATCAAATACATCTCTCCCTCTCGCTAATTATTTTTTCTAATCGTATTAGACAATTTCTATATATTAGCTGAAGAAAGTTTGTTGCATGCTGGTCAAACTATGTCGTGGCTTTCTCTTTTATTTTTATTTTTTAAAGAAGCACATTTACTGTAATTCAAGTCAGCATCTTTTCCTCTTGGTATGTAGTGAGTACTAGGCAATCTTGTATAATATGTGTATGAACTAGAATAGATTAGGTAGATTTAGTGGTTTGTAGCACTGGATCTTTTAATAACTATGTCTTCAAAAGGACCGTGGGGAGCTCCAGGTACATCCCAGACCTGGCAGCTGAGTAACAGGGCTTCTGTCTTAGGTTATGCCAAAAACTTTATGTTGGTACTTAGTTTGGACATTATCTACCAGTAATAGCTAGTTAATCACGGTTTTCCTGTGTCCGATAAGGTGAATGCAATATTTTTGCAGTCTTTAATGGGGACTAGGAGACTATATAGGCCAAAAATATTCCCCCCGCCCTGAAAACTTTGTTTAATGACTGTCTGTTGAAAAGCTCAGTTCCTGTGTGCCTGGCAAATGCGATGTGTCTCTATATCCTGCCCCTCCAAAAGCTCTGCAAGCTCGATGATGATCAGTTTAGTTACAATAGCACTGCTTAACGCTGAGGACGATCTTCCGTATGTTTTTAATCATGCTAAAAGGTCACTGTCAGGGTAAAAAAAAAAAAAGTTACAGTTCTACTTGTGTTATTTTTGTTAACATCTCAGATTCTGAAATTTGGAGGCAGTTTTAACAGTCTGCTCCGTCCTGTTTTCTTCTGCATTTTTTACATGGTTGATTGTAGCCCAGTGGTTCTCGCTTTTGTTTCTACTCACTTCCAAGTCCTGTTTCTCCCCAGTAAGCGAACGTTGCAACCCCTGGCTGCCACGCACAGCAGAGTCGGGCGAACTGGCAAGTGCAGATGATCTTCCTTCGTAAAGCAGACTCGCAGGAGCCCTGCTGAGAGTGCCCACGGGGCACAGGGTGACGCCAGGAGAGTTGCACAGTACCCTACAGTCTAAATTCTTGCTTTACTTATGCCCGTGATTCCTGCACTAACCATGGTGTATTATAGTTTAAAAAGAAGACTTGTAGTTATCCATCAATTTAAAGACTCCTAGTATAGCATCCAAGGCAAGTCTCAGGCTTGAATAGCTTATTTTTATAAAGCCTAACCCTTCCCCCACCCCCCCCACCCCCAAATTTGACTTGCCAGTTTCTGTCTAAGGTGATATGATATGCCAGTTGAGTTTACCAGTGTGGTCGTGTAAAAAGCAGTGGTTTGCAAGTGTGATGAGCAGCTGAAAACTAAACCTGGGTTCCCTTTGCAAGTCCTGACTGAGTTTTTTCCTGTGTCTGAGTCTAGCTGTTAGTTATAGTCAGGGAAGGGGAGAGAGAGGAAGAGCAGAAGACTTCATAAAGAAAAAGGCTTCATAATATTTTTGGTCTGTGAGCAATGATGAGGGATGAGACTGAGGAGAGATAAATACCTGCCCAGCCCACGGCTGATTCCCTGTTCTTTGTGGATGAAATACTCCATTTTATTAGTAATGGAAGGGTTGCTTACCAAAAATAAAAAATAAAAAAGGAGAGCTGGTTCCTAAACGTTACCTGCATTAGTATTGCCACGGAAAGCAGAAATCCTGATGGTGAGAGCAGAACGATCTCTCCCCAGCGGGAATCCCCTGCGCACAGGGAGAGCAGAGCACTGAAACTGTGCCTGGCACGCGGCTTTGTCCACTTTGTGGTCTGAGCAAAAAGCGGCCGTGACCGTGGTTAGTCCTGGTTTGTTCAGGCAAAAAATGTGATATTTTCCCAGTCTCCTGGTGTTGCTTGCCCTTTGCCCCAACACAGCTGGGATGCCACAGAGCCAACACAAGGTCCTCACTCTGCAATTCAATCCATGGGTCCTCATCCTGCAGCGGCGGCCGCGTGGGCAGGCTGGAGCATCCCTTTTGCACTGTGCGTTTGTGTCCACAGGCAGGATGAGGGCCAGGTGACTTTACTGGTCAGCCAAGCACATCCCCACTTCTTGGCCATGGATTGTTTCAAAGGACATTGCAGAATTATTTGCTTTGAATGAAAATATATATTTATTGTTTCTAGCTACCGGATCCTTTATCAATGTACTGTTCTAAATTTGTAGGTCTTCTGGAGTATGAATATCACAAGTTCCTGTACAGGAGCTGTTTTTAAGATGTTGAGGCAGTTAACAGAATCTCAACCTAAGCATGTTTAGTAATGTTTAGACAGCAAGACAACTTTTTTATGAAATTCATTTTAAGTTAGTTTATTACATGCTGTTGGTAATATTTTAAAACAGGAAAAATATTTTTCTTTAAAGACAAAATGATGTATGTTTTTTAACAGATAACATAATTTAGTGTTTTCAAAAATGTTTAATGTTCTTGGTATGAAGTTTACTCATTCTTTTGATTCCTATGTTCCATGTTATATTTTATCAACTTTTTTCCAAAAGAAAAGAGGCATATGTAAATAAACACCAGAAAAGAGTCCTATAAGAAATTCTGTTCAAACGGGCCATAAAATTATTAGTAAATATTTGTTATTGTTCATTAACTCTCAGCTACTATTCAAGCCTTTGTTGAAAGAATTGATGTTGTATTTTCAAGATGAGAACTACTTAGCTAGTTTTGTCATAATCCTGTACTCTGTATAAAAATCTTTTTATAAAGAAAGTCGAATAGGCTAACAAGCAATAATATATTCCATTTGGTGTGCACAGATTGTGACTTGCAGGCTGTAGTACGTATTGTTGATAAAGTTTATAATTGTCTTCAATCTCAACGACATCACTTTTGAAAGAGATCCATATTAACTTTGATTGTAAAAAACGAAGACTGGGCTGTTGCCTTGTGAGATATATTCATCCTATAGACTTCTCTGTGAGTGTATGTGCCCATCGACATGAAATCTCTCTTAGATGAAGAACGAAACAGCTGTAGGTGACTTCATGCTACAGAGGTTAAAAGTAGTTTCAATATAAACTTCATGACTGTTTCAATCTCCCTGTTTTTCTTAGGCTATCCAGTATTTGTAACTCAATGAGAACGGTTCCCACTGCCACTGTAGCCCTGATAAAGCAAAAAA